TGATCCCACCAGTTCTTGCTTACAGGCAAATGATATTTCTTGCAGATCTTCCAATGCACCATTGTTGCTACTTTGTCATGCCGCTGCTTGTAGTCAGTCTGTGCGATCTTCTTGCAGCAGCTTACCAGGTGGTCCACTGTTTCTTCAGCTTCTTTGCATAGGCGGCACTTACTGTCTGTTGCTGTCTTCTCAATTTTGATTTTGTATGCATTTGTCCTTAAGGCTTGGTCTTGTGCAGCCAGAATTAGTCCCTCGGTCTCTTTCTTCAATTTTCCTGCTCTTAACCATTGCCAGGTCTTTCCCAGCTATTTTTTTTTAATGTACTGGCCATGCAGTGCTTTGTCTTCTCATGCCTCTATTCTGTTCTTCATTTGGTCTTTCTTGTAGGCCAGTTTGGTCTCTCCAGTAGTCAGTAAGCCTTCCTGATATACTAATTTCAGTGCATCTTCATCACTGTCCTTCAGATATTCTTCCAAAGCTATTTTTTCTTCTTCAACCATCTGATGTACAGTACTTGCAGCATTCCATGCCCACCTATTTGCCTTGGTAGATAAAGTCTGTCAATGTCACTGCGTGGATGAAGGGCATGATTCATTGTCATTATTTTTCTGGTCTTCCCATCTATTGCTTTTAGTTCTGCTTGAGTCCAGTCCACTATTCCAGCTGTGTATCTAATGACTGGAATTGCCCAGGTGTTGATTGCCTTTATGGTATTTCCTCCATTGAGTTTGGACTTTAAGATCTTCTTTACTCTCTTGATGTATTCACCTCTAATCTTTTTCTTGACTTCAGTGTGCTTGATGTTGTCAGCTTGAAGGATACCCAAGTATTTGTAGTAATCTTCCTCATCCAGATTCTTAATGTTATTTTCGTGTGGCATCTTGATTCCTTCAGTTTTCACTATTTTTCCTTGTTTGATAGTAAGTGTGGCACATTTGTCCAAGCCAAACTACATTGCAATATCTTGGCTATATATACGGACAGTGTTGAGCAGCGATTCTATTTCAGATGATGTTTTTCCATACAGCTTCAGATCATCCATGTAAAGGAGGTGGGATAGTCTGGCAGATGTTTTTGATGTTTGATAGCCATGTCCTGAATTATTCAGTATTGTTGACAGAGGAAACAGTGCAATAACAAATAGTAATGGTGATAATGAATCTCCTTGAAATATCATTATCATTATCATTATCATTATCATTATCATTATCATTATCACTATCACTATCACTATCACTATCACTATCACTATCACTATTATTATTATTATTATTATTATTATTATTATTATTATTATTATTATTATTATTATTATTATTATTATTATTATTATTATTATTATTATTATTATTATTATTGTCTCCATAGCATCTGAGAGCAGGACAAGGAGCAACTGGGTGAAACCTTATCAGAGGGAGTTTCAACTTGTGGATGCTCCGTCATTGAAGGCTTTTAAGAAAAGATTGGACAGCCATTTGTCCCGGGTCCTTTTCAGTCCTATGATTCTAGGTTTCTACAAACCATTCAAATTGCTGTCATATGGCAATTCTGTAGTACCAACTAAATGACCTGATTTTGAGAAGTTTCCAGAACTGTAGCCAAATTTTGTACTAATGCTGGGACCTGATTGTTTTTCTTTATGCATTTTGTGCAGCATTTTAATTAGATACAATGTAATTTATAAAGTTCCATAAATTCAGCCTGTAATGGAATTTTAATAAACTAAACTTTCTATGTCTTGGAAATAGAATCAATTTAATTTGTGGAACTTCTTGGATACATAAAAGAATTTTTGCTGAAACCAACCCTGGACATGACTCATTTGTATGAATATGTATTATATATAACTGTATATATTCATGTAATGACATAAGGCCACATTCCAAAAAAAAAAGACTGAACCAGCACAAAAATTAAATCAATATTAGCAAAATTAATAATTACTGTTGAAATTAATTGCCAAAAATAAGAGTTTGAATCACTTATTTATTTGCACCTCTTACTTATTTGCTCATTTTCAAACATGTCATTCTTTATTACCATACTTCCAGCCAATGTAAGATATTCTCCATCATGATCTTATAGGAAGTTATTTGGGGAAAAATACTCTCTTCCTTTCTCCTGCATGTGATTATATTTGTTTATGGGTTCTTGACACAGCAATATTTTACTATGTAATGTTGTTATTTATCTGGTTATTTTAGTTGTTTCAATCCTATTTGCCTGATGAGTGCCATGGCACCCATCTGACAGTGGGGCAGCATTTCCAAGAAAAAAAAAAGTGCCTGGATGCTGGATCCAGACTAGCAAAATTTCTCCAGAGAAAGGAGAAATAGTTGAGATAACCCATGTACACTCCAGACAACCACTCCTCATGATTAGAGTGCAGTAAACTATGGTTTTGCGGTCAGTTTATGAGTTGAGTGGCTTGGATACAATCTAAATTCATTCTCATAAAACAGCCTTTTAAGGACAAAAAGCTTGACAATGCCTCATTTCATAATTGTTATTTGGATTATTTTTTAATGTTATTGCTTTGGAAAAAATTAAGACTTTTTGGGTTTTTGGTTTTTCTAAAATATTCAAGAAAAGGATGAGTGGAGTGTTGATTTAAGGAAGTTTTGAAATATGTTAATGAAGGCTCAATCAGCCAGGCCAAAGTTAGGCAACTTTGGCTTGGATGATAAAGTCTTCATTTACATATTGCAAGTTATTTTGGGAAGAAACACCTGAAGTTGATTTAGCAAGAGTTCTGACTAATTTTGTTCTGACTGATGAAGTTGCTTGGATGAGCAATGAAACTTCAGATTAACAAAGTTTGGTCCAGTTGCCATGATTCAACCTTTAGACACAAAGTTTTGAAATATACTAAGCACTCAGATGGATTCAGATTAATTATTTTGAAGTTAATTGAATTCTTTCCCCTGGAAATTATCTATGATTACAGTTGGGAACAAAGATAATTAATAAGATGGCTTTGAAGGTTGCCCACTAAATGATATCAGATGGAAACAAATAGTGGATCTGATGAGAGAGAATTACTATTGGATTCAGAAAATTATTTAAGAAAAACATACATAAAATATATTACAATCATTTTAACATAACAGTTCAATCCACAGTATTCACATTATCACATCCCCTCTAAAAATAACTAAATCAGACATCTGCATCAAATAGAATCATAAGAATACCAACAGTGTTTCTTCATTGGTTTGAAGAAACATGTATTCTACACTAATAGTTCTACACACAGTTGAAAAGTATCTTGCTACACAATCTTGAAAATAAATTTTGCAACTTTTTAAAAAATTTCTTTTAAAATTTTATTTGTGTCAGCTACAGAAGAATAACTGGGTTTATAAATGTCCCAAGGTTTCAGATGGTACCAGGATGTAATCACTCTTTGTTTTCTGTCATATAACTCTTCACATATACCTACAACCCGCTCCCCCCAAAAGCAACAGTTAAAACAATAGTTGAAGATAGTTTGAAGGACTTAGTCCATAACAAAATAAAATACTACAAATAATATCATTATGAAATTCTAATTTTTAGTTTCACATCTCTTCCATTTTACACACCTCGTTTCCATAAACATACATAAAATGACTTCCTGGATGAAAAAACAATCCAGTTGGCACAAACGAATAGCTTGGAAATGTGAAAGTAGGAAATTTGGTTTTTTTATTCAATGCACCATTTGTTAACTTGTGTACAGATACAAGTTTTTTGTCCTAAGAAGAAGAGGAAAAAAAATACTAATCATTTTACCTTAGCAAGGGCACAGAATAAATTAACAATAATTACATGTAATTTTGCAAGTAAATTTGCCAGTGGAACAGCATTCATCTGAGCTTATGAGGCCATTATAAGAAACTAGAATTTTTCTTAGTACCCAGAAAGCTAGAAGAATTGGGATGAGGGTGGCATAGAGAGAGAGAGAGAGAGACAAAGAGAGTAAGAGAATAAGCAAAATTGAGTGGAAACTTTTCTTCCAGCTCAGCTGTGGTATGGAGACCAAATTGCAATATACATACTTTCCTGTCTTTTGATGAGGAAAATATCCTTCTACCTCTATAAATATCAGAATTCATCAGAATAATTTCTTCTAATTCTAGCAGGAATTCAATGAATCAATGAAGGTGAAAATATGGTATACCCTAATGCAGTGGTGGCGAACCTATGGCACAGGTGCCAGAGGCGGCACTCAGAGCCCTCTCTGTGGGCACCCATGCTGTTGCCCCAGTCCTTGGCCTTCAGCTGGGTTTTATAACCCGCTGCCATGTACAAAAAAAAAGGTTCAATCAATCAGTCAATTTCAACTTCTCACGGGAAAAAAAAAGATCTTGCAAAGTTGGAATTGATTGATTGAACTTTTTAGTCCCACCCAGTCTGCCGTTACCATCGGAGCCACGCCCACCCAATGGGCCATACCCACCCGGCACCTGACGATGCATAAGTGGGTTTTGGGGTGCAGTTTGGGCACTCGATCTCTAAAAGGTTCGCCATCACTGCCCTAATGGCAGACAATTATACTATTTTTTATTTTTTTAAAAAAAATCCCTTTGCCCCATAGGTTTCTAAGGACCTGTGTCACAGTAGTTAGCTGCTCAAGACTGACATTGACCTGGAAAAATTTGTTTGGTGTTCTTGTGAAGAAACATGCCAATATCCAAAAGACGTCTTGTGTGTCTCCTTCAAATCTTCCTCAAATACTATAAAAACTGCTCTACCTACATAACAGAATTCAATTTCCTAAAGAATGGTCCTATTATCCAGGAATTTTGAGAGAAAGGGGCAGGAAAGGACAACTGCCTGTTATTTTTAATTTTCTCTTTGTAGAATGGGGAAATTTATTCTACAGAAGGATCTGGATATAAAACTGTTCTATTGTAAGGGACAACACAATCATTTTTTTTTTTTTGCTGATAAGACACCTAAGGCACTTTTTTGATCCATATGAAAACATTTTAACAGGTGCTTATTTTTAAAGATGCTATTCCCAGGAGACTTATTATAAAAACTGTAAAGGCACAAGATTATAATGAGAAAATATCAAAGAATGATAATAAAACTGGACAGTTAATGATTTGTTCTTCAGGAAGTGATAAAGGGTAAAATCCTGGTAGTCTTTATAGTGGATGTGAGCATGCCCAGGTTAGCCATACATCTAAAGATGTAATGATCCCCATACAGGGGAATAGATATTATTCAGAATTGAATAGCTGTGTTCTTAGTATTTTCTGAGTTTTTGTTTCTCTGTAGGAATAAAAGCAAGTTCAGAGAACACCAAGAACTCAACCCTCTGCTGATTATTATTTAAGACTAATTAAAGATCGTAGCAACTTTGAAACCTATAAACTCATAAGATACTCCAAACCATGAAAACCACCTTGGTGTAACAGGCTACAATGCCAGTTTGAAGGGCTCAGTGAAATGAAATAACTTTGGTTCAGGTTCCTTGAGAAAACTTTGCTGATTAATTGGCTCCTGCTATTTACAAATTGTTATAAATGTATTTATATATTTACTTACTGTATTTATTTATTTACAGCCAATGTCCAGCAAATTAGCCTTAGCACTATAACAACATATCAAAGCAAGCTCAAATAATAAAAGCAACAAAACCACCATAAAGAACAGCCAATTAACATTTACACACATATAACAAAGAGACTGAAATAAAACAAAACAAAAATAGATGCTAGATAAAATAAAAGGACTTCCTCTTGACATTGTTCCAATATTAGGATAGCTTAAACCTTGTTATGGCAATAGATGCCAATAAGAACTTGGCAATTCTGCATGTAGTAGCAGGCTTCTGGTCTGAGAATGTAAAACAAACCACCTAGGCCTCATTAAAGGCTTGATGTCTACCAGGAGGCAGTTTAAATATTCTAGCATATCGCTTCTCGTGGAACAGACTGTGAACAAATACATGATTTAAAATCTCCTTGTGGATGAAATGCTTCAAGAGAAGCCAGTGTTCAACTACTCTCTTTACCATGCTAAGAGCATAACCAGCAGTGGTGACTGTTTCTTTTTGTCTTTCCTTCCAAATAACAAAAAAATACATATCTGAAAATCTTATTGAAACATTTATTTTAAAAATCATAATACCAATAGTTTGAAAGAAAAGCTTCAGCATGTATACCAGTATCATAAGGATGAAAATGGCAAAGAGCATAAAGATATCCAACTTATTTTTCAAAGATATATTTAAAGAGAAATAAATTTAAATAACTGAACCGTCAAATATAAGCACTGAGGTAAGGAGAAAACTGAGGCAGTTTTATAAGCACCCAAGGAAAAGTAAAGTCCCGGGTTGCTTCAAATCTGTTATTCCATTGTTGTTCTCTATACATTGCATAATTGGAATATCTTCGTCAAATAATTTGGATATTAAACACAGTTTTTAAAAATGCACAAGAGAAGAGAAGAGAAGAGAAGAGAAGAGAAGAGAAGAGAAGAGAAGGTCTCAATAGTAACAAAGTATACATAAATGGATTGATAATTGAAAAAGTACCATTTTTAATACTATACCTTTTGAGATAATAGAGCTATACCAGTATTCTGCTCATAATCAACCACAAAAGAAATTACCCGTCTAGAAATATGCTTTTCGGCTAGTGGTTTATGTGGTAAGCAACTGTGCCATTTTGTAAATGAATCGTTACTATAGAAGCAGGTGGATTCCTGTAAAAGCATGAGAAAGGTAAACATAAAGAGCAAGATATTAAACTGTTTATATATCTAGAAATATATTATATTCTTGACTTAAATGTGCTGCCAAAGAATCTGTTCAGCATATTAAAACAAATCAGAAGGAAAGGGATGAAAGCCAAGAGTTCAAGCTTCCAATCAGAATGCGCTTCTGAAATGCACTGGGATCCTGTATTAATTTTGTATTAAAATTATTCCTCTCTCTGTTCATCTTGCAACTGCAGGTTCAAAAAGTAGCAAGGCTGATGGGGTTTCCAGTTGGAAATTACCTGTATATATAAAGCACAAATAAAACAATCATATAGTTGACTCTAGCAAGTAGGTTAAAAAAACAGAAACAAAATTGAATTCACAAAGGACCAAGTATCCTTCTCTGAGAATGTACATATTATATTCTGCTATATTGGAGATTTTCTAGTTGTGTGAACAATTTCTGATTGGCAAACAATGTCTTTAGATTAGATTATGCATGAAGAATTATACATTATTAGCCAATGAGGGCTAATAATATTGGGAATACAGTTGATATTTTAATGCAAGTATAAACTTTTGAGCAAGTCTGCTTTCTTCACTTCACCTCTATTTGGTCCACTGTCCAATATGTTCAACTTGTTTGAGATCTGATGGAACTTTCATGTTTCCATCACTTCTGGTCTGAATATTCTTGCTAACATCTCATAACTTAATTTATAATCTAGTAAATAGCTTAGGCTCTTCAGTCCTGAAAAATGTTTTTATTCATCTACATGCTAATAAACCTTTATTTTTCCTCATTGTCTAATGTTTTCTTCCTTCCTTCCTTCCTTCCTTTTTTCTTTTTTTCCTTCCTTCCTTCCTCTCTTTTTTTCTTTCTTCTCCACATAGCATCAAACCTTCTCTCCAATGAACAATGGCAATTGAAATTTCCGCAGCAATAGCAGCAAAGCTGTTGACTCTGCATGGTTATCAATTAGTAAAATTGGATTTTTATGGATAGTGTGCTCAATCCTCTGTGTGGTGTTTCTGGATCAACTTCTATACAGAACAAAGTAGACCAAGCCATGATGAAAATGATCATTATTTGTCTTACCTGACTCAATGTCTTATCTTTGTTGAATGAGAGACTGACATAATCCACTAGAAGAAAAACGAACTGCATGTAATTGTTTGCATTTTTAAAGATGTATGCATGCAGTTTGATATGAACAATTGCAAAAAAATGTAGGGGTTGTTTTTGTTTTTTTTAAAAAAAGCAAGCTAGCACAAATTAACATGAGCTTCTGAGTCTTGTTTTCAAAAATCTTTTGATGTGTAATTCATTTTTGAATAATCACCCAGAGTCACCTTATAGAGAAGATAGCATAAAATTTAATAAATAAAATGGTCAGTAACCTTGTAGCATTTCCATACTCAGACACAGTATATCTTTTAAATGCTAAGAGATAAATAAAATAGGGGAATAAATAAATAAATGAATGAATAAATAAATAAATAAATAGGATAATAAAGTGATCCTATATGAAAAAAACAAAGACTCTGAAATGCATGGAGACCTTGGTTTGATCCAGTTGGGCTATTCTGATGCTCTTATGATTTAATTCAAAACAAATTCGCCAAGCAACTCATCTTTATTTCTTTACTTCTGAATAGACACATGCTTCTGGGGGACATTAAACCGAAGCTACTCATCTGTAATATTATATCTTTTATTGCAAAGATGCCTCTGCTAAGTTTAGTTATGTCTAGTTTAAAGGTTGTTGTTTTTTTAAAGAAATGTGTCAATACCTGACAAAGAGAGAATTTATATACAGAATAGGTTCATACTTACACACTTTATACTAAATCATAATTTGATTTGTCTGGTTTTGTCTTAGTATGATGTGTGATTCCAATTATAATATTGGAGTATGGTTAAAGATTAGCTATGATTAACAGTTTGCTATGTTTTCTTGGTATTTTCTGAGAGAATAAAAAACCATTGGTTGCCTTATAATTTGTGAAAACTAGTTCAATTAATTAACAGGGATTCTGAATTTTTTTTAGCATCAAATATAAATAATTAAGTTAATGTATAATAAACAGAAATACTTGGCAGAATAGCTTTCGCAGACTTTACTAAGTCAAAAATAACAAAAAAAAAGCTTCTTTCAACATGTAAAAAACAAGAAAAAAGTGAAGGAAACAATTGGTCCATTAGTGGGTGAAAGTGGCAAGAAGGTGACAAGCAACAGCGAGAAAGCAGAACTATTTAACTCATTTTTCGCATCTGTCTTTACACAAAGGGAAAAAACAGACCAACCTATCAAAAATAGTGCCATAAAAAACAAAATAGAGATACAAATTAAGATAGGCAAGAAAATGGTGAGCACCTGTCCAGCCTAGACGAGTTCAAATCACCAAGATCAGATGGATTACACCCCAGGGTTCTTAAGGAGCTGGCGGATGTGATCTCAGAACCACTGAACTATATTTTTCAAAGATCCTGGAGCACTGGGGAACTACCAGAGGACTGGAAAAGGGCTGATGTAGTTCCTATCTTCAAAAAAGGGGGGAAAAAAGACCCAGGAAATTACAGACATATCAGCCTGACCTCAATACCTGGGAAGATTCTGGAAAAGATAATCAAACAACGAATCAGTGAACACCTACAGGCAAACAAAGTCATTACTAAAAGCCAACACGGGTTTGTCAAAAACAGATCATGCCAGACAAATCTTATTGCATTCTTTGACCAGGTGACAAAAATAGTGGACCAGAGGAATGCTGTGGATATAATTTACTTGGACTTCAGTAAGGCATTTGACAAAGTAGATCACAACCTATTACTTGATAAGATAGAAAAATGTGGGTTAGACAGCATCACCACCAGATGGATCCGTAGCTGGCTGACCGGCCGTACTCAGCTTGTGGTCCTCAATGGAACCGCATCTACATGGAGGGAAGTGTGTAGTGGGGTGCCCCAGGGCTCTGTTCTGGGCCCAGTGCTCTTCAAT